ATTTATATTTTTATAACTTTGCTTTACCTATGCCTATCCTGATCGGAAATAGTTATTCTGATACGTAAATAAAAAATTTGAAATCTAATTTCTTTTAATAAAATAAGTTTTTATTTAGAAGTACTAATAATTTCTTAAGATACCGGGGCTTCCGTTACTTTATATACAATATAAGCATGTATATAAGCGTTATATAAATGAAAAAAAGATTGAACTCAACCGCTTGTTGACTTTTATCCAACAAGCTTGAATTCAGTTTTATTATAGATACCAGATTTATTGTTGTAAAATATATTTATATTGAATTCAAATGTGTTAAATAGTGTTAGTATAACAAAGAAAATATGAAGACAAATGTATTTTTATTTTTTTATACATAGGATAAAAAAAGGAAACGTGTATAGTTATATTTTATTTATTAACAATTGTTTCACAAAAATTAGGGCAAAACTTCTTCAATTTCAAAATCTAACTCAGTTTCTTCACTTCCACTCGATTCTAATATTTCCAATTCACTTTCACTGCTTAAATCTGATTCAATGAAATCTATGTCTTCTTTATTGTCATTTTCTTTTGTAGCAAGTCTTAAGCTGATCGGATCAAAAATAGCTGTTCGTCGTTTTTGTAAAAAAACATCAGTAACACGTTCAATAACATTTTCTCTGTCACTATTGGTAAAATTCGGATCATTTATTTTAAAAGCCAAGATAGCGTTAAGTGTTTAGTGATTAATACGCAGTCTTTGATCTGTCATAAGCATTGTCAGGAGACTAAAGGCATATTAAATAAACTGCCGTCTCTTTATGAAAAAACGTGAAGTTAACGCGGAAGTTAACGCGGAAATATCACTTTAAATGTCTTTAAAGTAAGACAAACTAGTTTATCGGAAAAAAGCGAAATACATGGATAATTAGTTTATTATCGTTATTATTATAAACATTGAAAAACCAAAACAACATGATACTTCTTGTGCATCACATGTGTATATTTCCCTATTTAATATAATAGTTATTAAATTTTGAACATAATATGGTAACTGCTTGGTATTATATCAAACAGTTATCGTCGTTTAAAAAACTGTAAGATTTAGTTATATTATTTTCTACATCATGTTATACAATAATGATTAAATTGTTTAATTTTTATATATATATATATATATATATATATATATATATATATATATATATATATATATATATATATATATATATATATATATATATATATATATATATATATATATATATATATATATATATATATATATATATATATATATATATATATATATATATATATATATATATATATATATATATATATATATATATATATATATATATATATATATATATATATATATATATATATATATTTTGGGTTGGCAAAAAAACCCAACCCAAAAAAACCCAAAAAAACCCACCTTAAAAAAACCCAATAAAACCCAAAAAAACCCAAAATATATTTGAGTTTTTTTAAAAATGACCTATTTTACAACTGATATCTCTGATTTTAACACTTATAAATGCTTTATTATCAGCAAGTGCAACCTTTATACTGTAATTACTCTTGTAAACACTGTATTTATATACATAATGGTCTTTAGAATATACCCAAAATTGATCAATTTATTTAGGTTGGGTTTTTTTAAAAAACCCTGGGTTTTTTCCAACCCTGATATATATATATATATATATATATATATATATATATATATATATATATATATATATATATATATCAGGGTTGGAAAAAACCCAGGGTTTTTTAAAAAAACCCAACCTAAATAGGTTTTTTTGGGTTTTATTGGGTTTTTTTGGGTTTTATAGGTTTTTTGGGTTTTTTTAAAAATCAGTCAAAATACCAAATTTTTATAATTTGTATGAGTACAATAATTTTTTTTTTTAATTTTATAAATTCACCTCCCTATTGCTCCAATGACCATTTTAGTCAAGGGAGCAACTCATTTTTTAAAAATATTTTTTCTCAATCCTTAACATTACCATTTTTACTAACAAACAACATTAACAACTAAAATTTTTAAACAAAGGCGCTGTGTGGAGAAATAGATTGAGACAGTAATTACAGCAGAGGTAATTTGAACCCCAACCTTCTGGTTGTGAGCCAAATGTTTTGCTACTAGTCTACTAGCACATTTTACCTATAGTGCAAAAAGGGGCTCCATCAACTATAAATGATGTTAATTAATTGCTCTAAATTAAAAACATGTTCAGAATATTTTTGACTAAAATAAAATCAGTGTAAAAATCATGACAATTGAGTTATTCAAAGTTGGTAAGACAATATAAATGTTGCAAACTAGTTTTTTTTACTAACATGTTCAACATATCATTTCAAAAACTACTTTGCACAAGTTTACAACGTGTAATCAACAAGTTTGCAACATGATGTTGCAACCTTATAAGTTATTATCAATCAGGATGACTATGAACACTTTTTAAACATTTTTGTATCATAGAAGAAAACTGCTAGCCTAATCACAACATTTTTTTTTATCAGAACATTATACTGTCCAGCTTCCTGGAAGTAAATTTTTTAAGAACCATACAGTGTCTTCGCCACCAAGTTTTTTTTTTTTCCTTGAAGATGTTTTACCGGCTCAGTTTTGCAATGCAAATTGCAAACTGAATCAAAGTAACACATTATATAGCTCTATTGTGTGTGTGTTTCTTCACCTTTTAGCAACTTGATACTGATGTTAATTTTTAATCCACTGTTCATAGTCACCCCTGTTGGTGGTACATGTTGTAAACTTGTAGCTGATGCAAAATATTCAAAACCTGTCAAAAGACAGATAAGCACAAGTGTCATTTTTACCAACAAATCTTGTCCTTGTGAAATGCATACAAGTTTTCAACATGTTCTCTCGTTGAATGAGCAAACATGTTGCAAGCTTGCTTGCACATAACTTAATTTTTTTTTAAGTTTTAAAGTTGTATGCACTTAAGGACAAATCTAGTAAACTGTAGTATTTTTTTTTTGCCTGACAACTTTCCATTTCTAAACTGTAAATAAAGTTTAATAATTTTTATATATAGTATTTTGCTTGTGGCTTTGTATTTTTTTGTGTGCAGTTAACAACATAAAAAAAAAAAGATCAAATACCAATATAAAGGAATATAGACATTCGGGAGGAGAATAAAGATACTAAATAACTAGTAATGTCTTGAAATTTAGTTAATAGAATGATTTTTATTTCCTTTATAAGTATTTAACTAATTTAATGTTTTAATTCATATTTCAATAACATTTATAATAACTTGCTAAATGTTTTAAAAAAATAATAAATAACCAACTTGCTACAAAAACAGATTGATCGATTTTGGGTATATTCTAAAGACCATTATGTATATAAATACAGTGTTTACAAGAGTAATTACAGTATAAAGGTTGCACTTGCTGATAATAAAGCATTTATAAGTGTTAAAATCAGAGATATCAGTTGTAAAATAGGTCATTTTTAAAAAAACCCAATTATATTTTGGGTTTTTTTGGGTTTTATTGGGTTTTTTTAAGGTGGGTTTTTTTGGGTTTTTTTGGGTTGAGTTTTTTTGCCAACCCTGATATATATATATATATATATATATATATATATATATATATATATATATATATATATATATATATATATATATATATATATATATATATATATATATATATAAATATATATCATTTCTTTCTAACTGCTTTATTATAATCATCGTCAAAGGCCTACTTATTTATTTCTAGTAACTTCTGGGGAATCTCAAGGTTCTATTCTTGGTCCTGTTTTGTTTCTTATCTACATTATTGATCTTCCCGACAACCCTACATCTAAAGTAGCTCTTTTTGCTGATGACTCAAGTTTTTTCTCCTGTCTTGACAAAAAGTCTTCTCTTTTTGATCGCTTAGAACAGGCAGTCAATTTTGTATGTGTTGATACAAAATTGGCTGCCTGTTCTAAGCGACTAAAAAGAGAAGACTTCTAAAATATGTGAGCCCCAATCTGTTCACAGATTGGGGCTCACATATTTTAGCTTATAAATTTTTATTTCCTACAAAACTCAGTTATTTATTGCAAACAACTACCACAATACTGTTGACATTCCTATATTAATGGTAACTCTCTTACTGAGTCCTCTTTTTTACATCTTCTTGGAATATTATTTGCTACTAACCTTTCTTGTAAACAAAATATACAATCGATTGCTAAATTAGCATCCCTTTATCATTATCGTTGTTTTCTTACCCTTGATTCCATTCTCTACCTCTACAAATATCTTTTTGTCCCTGTATGGAATGTTGTTGTCATATTTAGGCTGGTTCTCTTATGATGCCCTTTTTCTTCTAAACAAGCTCTATCTGCTAAGCTTGAGCCTCTTTCCCATTGTCATAAAGTTGCATCTCTTTCTCTTTTCTACAAATTCTATCATGGTGGCTGCTCAAAAGAGTTATTATCTCTAGTTCCATTAACAAAAACTCATTCTCGCTTGACTCTTTATTATGCTAAGCCTTATTCATTAGTTGCTAAATTTTATTAAATATAATAAATGTAAATAAATAATGTTTATTGTGTCAATATACACTAAAAACAGTAAAGATAAAATTGAGGAAGATAAAATTATCAAAGAGGTTTTTATACAGGACTGCTTCAACCGTGTTAACCTTTACCGTGTTAATATAACAAAACAAAAATTAATGCAGTAAATTTTAGCATTTATTGTCCTATTTAAATCAGAAATTAAAATATGAATTAAGATATTGCCATTAAAGTTAAATTTAGTAACTTAAACAATGAATTTTTGAATATTTCCCAAAAAAACCAAAAAAACGGACACCCATTGTTTTTTTTCCAAAAAAAACGACCAAAAAAACAAGAACCAAAAAAATGCGTCACATCTCTAACTGCAATAGAAAAATAATTTTTCAAGCTTTTACCACAGGAGTCGAGAATTTTTGTATACTTTCCCCATCCATCCAAGCTTATTTAAACCACCCCCTTCCCCCTCCTCTGTTTATTAATTTTTATTTTCTATTAACAAAATTAATGGTAGAAGTGTACTTTAGGGTGTCCCAAAAAACAACATTTTTGAAAATAATCTGCTCTCACCCCTCAAGACCCTCAAATATTTAATGGGTCCCTAATATTTTTGAAAAAAAAGTTTTTCAAAAATATGTCAACCTGGTACTCAAATGAAGCGAAATTAAATAAATATTTCAAAAATAATATTCAATTCGTAATATTTTTAACTTATTTATCGAAATTATTATAAAAAAACATTAAAAATGCATTTTTTTCATTTTTTCTTAAAAAACGCAATTTTATGTAATAAAACCAAAAATAATAATTTTGTTTTGAAATGAATATTTTTTTTTAATTTTTATATAATTTCGCTTCATTTGAGTATCAGGTTGACATATTTTTGAAAAACTTTTTTTTTGAAAATATTAGGAACCCATTAAATATTTGAGGGTCTTGAGGGACCCCTTAAAATATTTTTTATTCAAAAAATATTTAAACCTAGTGTTTTTGCATTAGATAGAACACATTTAGGGGGTGAGAGCAGATTATTTTCAAAAATGTTGTTTTTTGGGACACTCTAGTGTACTTGATTCACATGCGATTAAAACCATGATTTATTTTAGCCGTCGTTTAATTGAATTTAATAGTTTATTTCTCTTTTATAGCAAAAGAGAAACTACAACTTTTACCATAGTGTTTTGTTTCTTCCTATTATTTTATACTATTACTTTTTTCAATAATTCATGAAAATTGAAGCTTTTCCTTTAAAACCATTTTAATGTTTTTTTAAAACAAAACAAACCTTTTATAAATTTAATAAAGTTTATATTTATATATACATATGTAGTTTTTTGTAAACTAACCTTTTTCAAAATAATCAAAGTCCATCTAGCATTATCAAATTAGCATATCAAAATAACATTATCAAAATATGCTAAATCATGAAATAAACCTGATTAAAAATAATTTAATCAGGTTTATTTCATATATATATATATATATATATATATATATATATATATATATATATATATATATATATATATATATATATATATATATATATATATATATATATATATATATATATATATATATATATATATATATATATATATATATATATATATATATATATAGATATATATATATATAGATATATATATATATATATAGATATATAGATATATATATATATATATATATATATATATATATATATATATATATATATATATATATATATATATATATATATATATATAGATATATATATATAGATATATAGATATATATATATATATATATATATATATATATATATATATATATATATATATATATATATATATATATAGATATAGATATAGATATAGATATATATATATATATATATATATATATATATATATATATATATATATATAGTATTTAAAAAAATTAAATATTTAATACCTATAATTGAACATCTTATTGCATCTGCTGCTACAGCACCGTGTTGGTACAATTCTGCATTTAATGCTGATTTTATAATTTCAGGAAAATGGCGTGGGTGCTTGTAGCAGTATAAGGTTATTGTAACAGCAACAGAAACAGCTGCAAGAACAGTAAGAAATGTGAGAAGAATAAGCAGCCATTGCTTTGTTGTTAAACTAAAAAATATAAACAGTTTAAATTATCACAACTATTATAAAAAACAACTTGGTGAAGTATAACTTACTTAAAAGAAAAATTGGCATAGTTTTATGTTTCTATGTTATGTCCATTTAAAGATATAAAGAGGGAAAATATGCTGTTAAAATTTTTTAATTACTACTAGAAATACAACTATCCTTTTTTTTTGGTTCTCCGAGAAAAACTTATAAAAATTGTGTGAATCTGTGCAATTTCAAAATCTAGGATGAAGGACTTGATAACATAAGGTGAAGCAATAATAAAATGACTTTTACATGTAAGGCTGTCTTTGACAGTGTTACTAACCATAGCAGTTACAAGACAAGTTTTATCAGAACCTGCATTGTTATTATCTCTCTAGTCTAATTATATTTGGCTGCATTTTGAAAATAGTAATGAAAAGGTGCTTATTTAAAGAAAGTTATCATCCACAACCTTCTGTAGACCCTTAAGAGTTCCATACAAGAAAAAATCTGCGATTGAAGAAAACCAGTACATAAAAAGTAAGATAGAAGGCTTGGGTATGATTTTACTAGACATTTGTGAATCTCCAATTGAAGTAAAGTGCATTATTGAGGTAAAAATTATTTTTGTAAAGGTTCAAACTATATTATCTGGATCAACAATTCATCCAATGTTGTTCAGTGTGTGAATCACACATGTCATCATGTGTGATTCACACACTGAATATGTCACTGTGATGACTCTCTAAAAAAGAGAAGCATGTGGTTTATCCTTCATGGCTTGGATAATTTTTATTAGAGATAATTTTGCACATTGCATATAAAAAAAACAACAGGAAAGTGACAAACAAGATCTAAAAATTATAAAGAAAAGGTACCTACAACAAAGAAGATTTAGACTTTATGAACAAAATGGGACTTGTTCATTTTTCAAAAAATGGTGTTTCTAGAAGAACCAATGATAACAACACTTCAAGCATGCTTTTGCACAATATGAACAAATAGATAAACTTTATGGTATTGATCGAAACATTAAATTCAGATTTTACATTTTTTACATTATTTTTGATAACACTATCTTCAGCATATAAAATAAACTGGCTAAATAAAAATTCTAAGACTGTAGGCCGGGTAAACAAATAAAAGCAAATGCTTTTACTTAGTAAATGGTCAGCTTTACACAAACAAAAGTTTAACAAATTTTTAGGAGATTTTTATTTACGTAAAGATGAACACTTACTGAGTAAATTGCTTAACTTTACGTAAATAAAAATTTTAGCAAAACTTCAAAAGTTTTTATTCACCTAGAACTGTCCAATTACTAAGTGAAAACAATTGCTTTTTTTTTATTCACCCAGCCTTATATGTTATAGTGACTAAAAGATATAGTTCTTATCTTTAAATTTTCGCCGGTTGGTTTCGTATCCTATGAAGATAATGTAAAATCTAAATTTAAGGATTGAGACTTATCTAAATTAATAATTTAAAATAATTATTAATAAATAATTATTAAAATAATTAAAAATAAATTAAATAAATATCTAAATTTAAAGATTGAGACGTAATACCGTGCATAGCGGAAAGAGTGACTATATCCTGATATGCGGAAGACTTGAAAACAGCATTTTGGGTATACGGCGAATATATCTTTTTAAATGGATAACACGTTTATTGGTTGTTTTGCGTTTAACACAAATGAACACATGGAGCAAAGGCAATAAAAAAATTATTTTTATTTATAAATTTATTTTATTTATAAAAACATTTATTTTATTTATAAACATATTTTTTATTTTATTCATTTTATTTATAAACTGTTTATTTATTTATTTATAAACTATAAACTATTTTTATAACTATAAACTATATTTATAAACTATAAAGTTTATTTATAAACTATTTTATTTATTAACTATTTATAAACTATTTATAAATTACTTTTCATGTTTAAAATGAAACATGGAATATCTCCACTTATATTTCAATCTTATTTTAGCGAAATATCTCATAAGTATCCAACAATGTTTTCAGAAGATAACTTTTTTGTTCCAAGAATTAATTTGAAAATAAGTTCTTGTCGAATTCAATATCGGGGACCTTTTTATGAAAAAATTTTATTAAAAACTTTAATAAAGAACACTACTCTTTAGAAAAATCTAAAACAATTGAAGTGAAGGAATGAAATGAAGAAAAATCTAAAACAATTGAAATGAAGGAATCTTACTTCAATTAGATTTTAATTTAATAGACTTTAAATATATTTTTTAAAAGGTAATTTTAAAATAGAAAAAACGCTTCCATCAGCACTAAATATATTTTTTTATATGTATCAAATATATTTGTATTAGTATACAAAACTTTCTTTATTTTTAAATTTTTAATACAAATGTCATTTTATTATTTGACAAAAGTTATGTACTCTTTAACGTTTTTTTGTATATTTTAATTATATTTGTTTATAAACACGGACAATTTGTAAACGGGGCTCGGTGATAAGACTGCCATTGTCTTCTTCTTGCTCCGGCCAATTTTTATAAACGTAATGTCTTTATAGTAAATATATGAAACGGCAAAAAAAAAAAAAAAAAAAAATTGTTTAATTTATAAACACAAATTATATAACTATTAATAAAATATCACAGCAGCAAAATAATATTACAAAAAGAATAAACTTATATAGCTTGATAATGTAACCCGAAAAAGTATTCTAGGCTTAATGCGTTTAAATAAATAATCGTAATTTATCTATTTAAAAAGATATACGCGCTATATACCCAAAACATTGTTTTCAAGTATTACTATTGCCATCCGCATATCAGGATTTATATGTATTCCTTCATGCATGATTCAACCTGTGCATAAAGTATTGATTTATAGATATAGTTAGTTATATAAATAAACTCTTTCCATAAGACATGTATTAGAAGAAGCTCAAGAGGCAAGAAATAAAGACTTACTGCAAAAAATTCTGCAGTTTTCATGTCGTTTTCCGACATTTGCTGACTGCCAACTATAAATCCAATTTTGCTGACTTTAGTGTCCAATTTGCCGACTAATAAAATTTGTAGAAGGCCAGACACCCCACTACGCCTTTCCCCTCGGGACGGCCCTATTATCAACAGAATCAAGCATAAATCAACATCGCATCAAACAAATCATGAAATATTCCCTTCAGATATTTCAAATTTATTCAAACAATCTTATTCAATAAGATTGTTTGGGTATATAATAAAAAGGGCAAGAAAAAATCCCAATTTGAAATTGCAACTTTAATTTCAAATTGACAACTTTTTCTTGCCCTATTATTTATTTTTTATTATTGATATAACATTAATTACCTAAAATATTATTATTCAAAATAGATGAGTTGAAAATCATAATAAAAGATATTTAAAATTTAGTTACCCCTAATAGGGATCAAAGCCAGATTTACTTATAGTAAAGGTAAATATGTTCGTTCTTATCAAGCTAGTATAGGGTGATAAGATAGAACCTAGTAACACTGACGGATCCAAGTGGGGGAGGGGAGAGAGAAATTATACAATCCCCGCCTCTTCCCCCACCAAAATCTGAAAGATTTGCAGCTCTGTTACATTTTAAACCACTCTGGATTACCTGGTTCTATCGAAGCAGCTTTTTTTCATTTTACACAGTGGAAGCAACTGAAAATAGAACTGTTATTGACATCTCGTCATTTAGTAGCAGCTTTGGCTTTTCCATAAAATAGGTATGGGGGGAGACGGTTACCTAAAAACGTATGAATGTGTACAAGGGGAAGGAGTCTAATTTCCTCAAAAAACAATCAACCAGACTAGCCGACTGTATTCCTCAAAAAACTAACTATAACTTGAAAATCGCCTTCTTTGAGGGGAGGAGGGGGGGGATAATAACACAAAATAGAAACGTCTCTGCTGATTGGTATTAAAGATAGCAAGTACGTACGCAGTTTGATTTTCTTTCGTTCTTTTTCTCTCCTAAAACTTGATTTTTTTTTTTTTTTAACAAAAGCATTGAATTTCATGAGTTTAAAAACCAGAGTTATAATTTTAATAAAGAAATATTATATTAACTGAAAGTTTTTTGTTTTGAAAAACTTTAGGTTGGGATTTTGTAAAAAAAATAATGTGTACGTATACAGAGGGGACAGGTTGTTAAAAGCATCAAGTGCGTACAAGGGGAAAGGAGTCTTATATCAGTGATTTTACTGCGTACTTACTTTTAGAATGCCCTAGTTCACTTTTTATAAAGACATAAAATATGTTAATCAAAATATTCCCATAACTTAAAAAATGTTTTTTATATTTTAAACGGTTATTTAATGATTGAAAACAAGTTCATTTGTTAAAATATTTTTAAGTACAGACAACCACGGTTGGTGAAACAACCAAGTAATAATTGTAACAATAAGATTTTAAACACATTTTGTTTAAAAGTATTTTTCATTGCATTTAAGTGACGGCTGATCCAGTTGTAGTATAATTTCTTTTGACGTCCAATTTATGCTTTTTTGGAAGTAAATTTTTTGTTTTAGATTATTTATCTATATTTGAGATGTATAGTTTATAATTAATAATATTTTTGTTGTTTCTAAATTGTTCTTTTTTGATAGTTATCCCAGAACATGTTAATATTAACTTTGTTATCCCATATTATTAAACTGAATTTGTATAGATTTTTATATTACTTTAAGGTCTTTTAAAAAATCAATACTAATTAAAGTAAGTTAAGGGGGTACTAAAATAATCATATAAGAAAAAAATCACGATGAATCAAAAAAATCTTTTGAGGACTAGTCCTACCCCCTTATTTGTGAGTTTATTTCCACCCTAATGGATAATTAAGGAATATTTAAAATTAATTTTCATTGGAAAAACTATGACTATATATAACATTATAATAAAAACCGACATTTTCAAAGAATCTTTATTTTAAATTTTTTTTCTGTGGTACCCCTTAAAGGGGGTACTAAAATAGTTATATAAGTAAAAAATTGCGATGAATAAAAATATTTTTGTGACGACAACGAACAAATGAAAAAGTGATTTCAAACATTAATGTATGAAGATGCTTAATAGCATTTCATTTTTTAACTACAAATAGATTTTTTTAAATATAAATTTCTTACGGCTTCTTTTTATGATGACTTTCTTCGCGTCGGTTTGTGTTTTCATCGTTAAGTCGCTCATACATTCTTTTTAAGATTAATATACCAACTGTGTGTATATTTATAACAATATATTTATTTAAATATTAATAAATTAAATTAGTTAATTAATTGTTGCAGCCATGTTAATTTTAATAATAGCTATTTTTGATAATTTGCACGCTTGATTAAATCAATGCTGAAATCGGATCAAAAAGGCACATTTTGCACATGCAACTTTAGAAGTTTGTTTTTATGTTATTTTCTGTTTTGTTGTTGTTTTTGTTTTTTTAATAGAATGTCATTTTAAATTAAAAGATATGCTTTTGATGTATTTTTCATTTATTGTGGTTTTTTCTAACTGTTTTTTAAAGATAATTGTCTTATGTATTTGTATTGATTGACTTCTTCCATTAAATAATTAACAATAAAGTGAAAAAATAAAAATATATCGCCCTCGTGAAACAACATCCAATTAAAATAATTACGATATCTGAACGGTAATTTAGTTTTCAAATTGTAAAGAAGATACATCAGCAACCATTCGAATATATTGTTGCTGTAAACTTGCATGTCTCAGAAGAGGTGCTGATGTTGTGTAGTTTATACGTTTTAGGTCAGTACTTAATTTTATTTTAACAATTTTTTTAAAAATAAATGTAAAAATAATGTTAGAATTTAGATTCAGAAGATTTAATGATCTTCTAAACTTTTATATTGTTATAACTATTTTTTTAAATCATCAAACTCACAAAACAATTATCACTCCTTAACGGGGCTAACTTTTTAAATGCCTATTCCATGTTTTAAATTTGAAAGTGTTACCTAAACTGATCCTCTTCAAGACTATACTTTAGTATTTATAAAAATATGTATCGTTAGGGCAGCAGAGCTTAATAAGTAAAAAAAGAGACAACTAGCCCCGATCTCCTCTACTTTTTCTGAGGTCTTTTTAAAAGGCGGAGATAGTATAAAATAATTTTAATCTCGATTTTTTAGCTATTTATAAAAAACATAATAAAAACAATAATAATTATAAAAACAAGATTTAAATGTTGTATAATGATAAAAAAAATAGGCCTCTATACTTTATACTTTCTCTTTTATCCAAAATTAAACTGAATGCTCTAAAATTAATATTTATATTGTTTAAATATAATTTCCGACTTTTTAAACATTTTTAATTATTTTTTATTTAGACTTTGACTATCAATTTTTCACCAGTTCATGCAGTAAAGAACCAAAAAAAAGTAGCCACATTTAAACAGGTTATATACCTCTGTTTTCGTCTGTTATGTCTGATAGTTACAGTGAATTTGGAGCACCATTGCAATCAGCCACTAATTCTAATAACGTTGTTACAATTGTCGGTGAATGTGCGTACAAATGCATTCAATTTGCTTTTTTCATTTTTAACGCATTTTACTTCATTGTAGGCGGAACTGTGTTATCGTTTGGTATTTGGCTACACATTAATCGCAAATTAGGAGTTGTTGAGTACGTTCATTTAACTGGATTGAGTGTGTACCTCAATGGAGAACTATTTCTAATTGTAGTCGGAATAGTAACGTGTCTATCTTCAACAATTGGTTTCTGTGGTTTACGTGGAACAAACTTGTGTATAATTGTATCTTACACAGTTTTATTACTTATAACTTTAGCCGCCCAATTAGCTGTGTTAGTAATAACAAACATATATAAAGATCACATTGAAAAACAACTAAGTAGTAGTTTTTACAACGCTTTAAACAAATACGCCGAACCAAATTTTGAGAGCCTTACACAGTCTATCGATTCGCTTCAAAAGAGTTTCGGCTGTTGTGGAAGTGACACTTACAAAGATTGGCTAAAAACAAACTGGGGTTATCTTCATAACAACACTGTCCCAAAAAGTTGTTGCTTGATGCCTTATGAGAAGTTATGTAACAAAAATATTTCCGAAAATCAAAGCTATATTTATTCGAACGGTTGTCATTACTTCATTCGGAAATACTTAATAGAAAACTTACATATAATTGGTGGATTTGGTGTTTGGATAATAATTTTAGAAGTATTATGTATTTTTTTCTCAATCTATTTGATTATTCAAATAAGAAAAGAAGAAAGCAATGCAAAAATAGGACAGTTAGAAGATTTTTACGACGAAAATTATTTTAAAGACGAATAAATGACGAGTCTGACGGTGAACGACATAAAATCCTGATAAAGTTGATTTAAATAAATGCGTATTTATCTTTAAATTAAAGATTAGAATCTATTCTAATATATTTTATTAGAATTTAATTATATTAATTCTATCCTGACGTATTTTTTACTTAAGCCTTTTTTAGTAAATTAAAAATTATTTTAGTAAAATGTTTATATGAACCAAAGCTAGCTTGTGACCAAGTCGTCTAATATGGCCATCCAATCAAAAAATAGTTTTTTTAACTTCAATGTTTTTATTTTTTGATTTGCTTTTTAAAAACAACTAAGAATGTGAAAGATTGGAAAAGAAAATTACATTTGGTGCAAGTTTTTTTATTTCAAAAGCAATTTAATAAGAAAAATAAACCATCAATTTAAAAACCTCCTACCATAACGTGTTGTCTCAATGATTAGAGTTTATATAAGAAAATAATCAGTTCATTTTTCTAATATCTTAGCACAAAAAGAAAGTAAAATCTCATTTTTCTTTGTTTGTAAAAAGATCATACAAAATTTTACGTTTACTAAATTTGCAACATTAACTTGGTTGTGTAAAAAATAATGATAAACACTTTTTCAAAATCAGATTATTCAAAAAAGACCGCAATAGTTTAAAACATTTATTGGTTTGAAGCATAGTAAAATAAATGAATTCATAGTTGGAAAATTTCTTGCCATTATTAAAAAACGACGGAGCTCTGTATAAGTGAGAAAAATTTTTATATCTCAACTTATATCTCAAACAATTCGAAATTGTATTGTGATTTCATAATGATTAAAATATGGTTTAAAACAGTTGTCAAAAAAAAAAAAAAAAATACGCGAGGGCTAAAAAAACTCCAAAAGAGTAAGAACTTTCCTTTTTTTGTATAAATGCAAAATATTTCTCAAAAAAATTTATTTAGAATAATCAAATTACTAGAACTTTTTATTGTTGAACTGTGTTTGATAACTGTGTTATCAAACACAGTTGAACAATAAAAATTTTTTTTCAAGCAAACAAAATTTTTTTTGGCATAATATTTCTCATTTTGATTTCAATTACGGAGCTCATTTTTCACCTTCATGTCAAGTTATAAAGATATTTGGGTTTAAATATTTAGTATTTGGGGTAAAATTCCTATTATGGTCACACAAAAAAAGTTATTCAAAAGTATGTCAACCTGGGTCTCAAAAGAAGCGTATTTTCATAGAGATTTTAGAAAATATCGTTAGAATTAATTAATTATAAGAAAACGACTTTTATTAATAAAGATAACTCTTATCCAACTGTAGTATTTGGCCCCAGACCCCAGGGGAATAATGATACTTCTAGTAAAATAAAGAAAGAAAGATAGGCGCCATTAGTTGCATCTTTTTTTATCTTTAGAACTATTGTTTGCACTAGGTTGTAGTTTGCGCCAAGATGGTAAAGAAAAAAAAGCTAAAGCTATTTTACAATCAGAATATATGTGATTTAGTTTAAAAAATAATTTTAAACAAAAGCTTTTATATTATTATATACATAAAATGGTTTAAGCTTTAGGATTTTTTTTTTTATATGGATTATGTTGTAGTTTCATAAAAACACCTAAAATTAGTAATTTGGTATGTGTTTAATTTTTTTTATGCATAAAACAATTCTCAATCAGACTGACACATTATCATTAGACTAGTTTAAAACTTTGTTTCTTACTTTGATTTAACCTGATTTCACCTTAAGGTGGTTATCAGGTAAAAACAGCAATTTTTGTAAAAAAATGTGTTTTATAGTTTATTAGCCAACTTTGTGTAAAATTTAATTGGCTTTTCAACCATATATAACATGATATGGGTTTATTAATTAAAAAATGTAAAAAAATTGTTTTAGTTGGTAAGAGTAAAAAAGCAAAGAATAAAAGTTTTAAACATAGCAAAGTTAAACAAGCTTTTCAAGCTAATAGATATATTATTTTTGCAACAGCCTGCAAAAGATACAAACAATGATGGAATGAATATATTGCCATGTGCTATTTCAACAAAGTTGAACATTTCCATAGATAAAACTGATCAACCTTTAATAAAACACGACAACGCTTTTTTTTCTATTTCCCAATGTTTAAAGATTTAATTTGTAGCATTGGATCCTGTGGTGGATGCAAAGGATATTGCTCTAGAATATCTCGATAAAAAAGCAAAGGGATTTTCAATACAATTCTGTATTAAAAGTGAACTTGTAAATGTAAATCAGTTGCTTTATCATTTTTTACGGAATCATTCGCAAAGTTCAATGTACGCTATTCTCATTATATAGGAGATGGAGATACTGAATCCTATACAAATATTGTAAAGGCAAAGCCATATAGAGATGATCTTGTCCCAGTAAAGATAGAGTGCGTCGGTCATGTCCAAAAACGTCTAGGCACCCGGTTACATCAAATGCGATATGACTTAAAAGGTAAAAAGTTAGAAGATGGGAAAATTATATCAGGGAAAGAAAGGTTGACAGATAAGATCATTACTAAAACGCAAAACTTTTATGGCATGAGCATTAGGCAAAATACCTTAAAAGCATGGAGTGGAGACCGTAATATAGCCTTGTACAACATAAAAAAATCTGTTTTGGCTGTATTATGACATTGCTCAAATATAAGCAACAGCAAAGAGAGACATCAATTTTGTATGCGTACAAAGGGAAGCTGAAGCAAGTATTGGCAGAATGACCAAAATTATAAACCATCAGTTAATTTGCCTCTTGCTATTAAAAGTATTCTTAAAGACATATTCTTGGCACTACGGTCAGATGATTTTTTATCAAGATGCCTGGATGACGCAACACAAAATCCAAATGAAGCTTTCAACCAGATAATTTGGAAAAAGTGTCCAAAAAACATTTTTGTTACTAAAAAGGTACTAGATTTTGGTGTTGCTTCAGCTGCAATAAATTACAAGATGGTTTGAGAGGTTTCACAAGAATTTTTGATTATTTGCAACTCTAGCCGGGATGTTTTATAATCCAAGGATCGTGGAAGAAGGACGTATCAAGAGTAAAAAACACGATTAAAAATTCAACTCCAAAGGAAAAAATGTCTAGAAAGAAAAGGAGATGTATCAAGAATGGTTATATTGATAAGGAGAAAGAAAAAGAGGGAGTAGACTCTTATATTTCAGGAAATTTTTTAATAAATAAATTGTTTTTAAACTTTGTAGCTTGATTTCTCTATTGTATTTTTTTGCCTGACTGCAAAAAGCGAATCATTCATATCTTTTTTCGAGATATGCAAATGAGTTCAAATTTTCAGGATTGTTTCTTTATAGATAGAGCTGTAGTATCTCACTAGAGCTAATCTTAAACTTGTTTCCATTTCAATATATTGATATTTTACTCTACGTTTTTGTATCAATTATTTCCTTTAAATCTGAAAAAGGTGCCATTTTAAAAATAACTATTATATTTAGTTTCTCTAGCTAAGCTATTGTTTATTACACTATAATCTATCAATGTTATAAGTTTTAGTTTAGAATGTCATAAGGAGGCTGAGAAAATGTTGTTTCTTTTTTCATTGATTTTTTTGCATTTTAAAAAAAGAAAAGAAAAGGAAACTAATTTTTTTTGAGCATTTTTGATTATATTAATGATTATATTTCTTTTAAACTAATTTTGGTATATGATTAAGTTGGCAATCGAAAAATAATTTTTTTACCTGATAACCACCTTTTTTATATGGATTATGTTGCAGTTTCATAAACACACCTAAAATTAGTAATTTGGTATGTGTTTAATTTTTTATATGCATAAAACAATTCTCAATCAGACTGACACATTATTATTAGACTAACTTTGATGTTTTAAGAAACCTAAGCTAGTAACTATGCAAAATAAACTGTCGCTAGACTTTTTAGGTGTCACTATCAACCAAATAAGAAATTGTACCACTACATTTTAGTATAAAAATACTCAATGTGGTAATTACAACAGTAATTATAAGCGATAAAGTTATTACTTTTGTCCAGTTTTAATTTATTATAGTTAATAAAATATGTTGGTTGCTAAGCAATCTAGGTAATCATAGCAATCCAAAACTAAAACTAATGTCAACATTAAAACCTCAATTCTTATCTTAGTTTTAAATTAGTAAACAGTACAAAAATAATACTTAAACTTTTTTTATATAACGATTTATTTGTTTTGTCAAGTAAATTCCGGCCCACTGTACGGTGGTCTAAAAAAAGTTCTTCCAGAATACTAGAATGTGGTCCATTTGCAACAGGCTTGCACTATCAGAGGTTTTTAAATCAGGTTTTTGCAAATCTCAATTCAAACTTTTAAAAGTCTTAAAAAAACAATTACTTGATAATGACGTATCTCAAATAATTACTTGATAATGACGTATCTCAAATAATTACTTGATAATGACGTATCTCAAATAACCACTTGATAATGACGTATCTCAAATAATTACTTGATAATGACGTATCTCAAATAATTACTTGATAATGACGTGTCTCAAATAATTACTTGATAATGACGTATCTCGAATACTATTTAATTTTTTATTCTCTTTTATTTTTCATTTTTTCCCTTTGTTAAAAAACGATATCATCCTTTACATCATTACTTATCTTTAAATTTTTTATTTAATAAGTTTTTCTTCAATTTTAAGTTTTATTGTATTCAGATTTGATATTGTATTTTCTTTATATAATGTTAAATACTTTTTATTTAAAAGTATTTAACATTATTTTACAGAAATTGTAATATTTTTTTAATATGATAGCTTATTACTTGTTTAATATAACAATAATGTAAATGATACAACGGGGCTGGATGATAAGACTTGAATTAATTAAATTATCGTATTTAAAACAATAAAAACAATTTTAGAGGGAAGGGGGTAAAAATGTGGGGGCAGAAAAACTTGATAATTTATAGCGATTTTAAACCACAAGTTTCAGCCGGAATTCCGGAATTCCGTTCCAGCCGGAATTCTGCCTGAAATTTGTGGTTTAAAAATCAATACGGTTCGGCCGTAATTACAATTTTTATGGCCGGAATGCTGGAATTTATTTATTTATTTTTTTAAGATTTGTGTCAGACTGTGTAAATTAAATCAAAAAATCATTGTCGTACTGGATAATTGAAGAACTATATGTAAACCTCGGTAAAAAATACAAAATTCTTAACAAACACAATGTAGTTTTAAATAAAGCTGCAGTTAAGCGGTCGAAAATAACTTTATTTTTTCGCTTGGTGCGTGGAGGCTTTTTAGGCATTAGGAGTTTTAACTGAAATAATAAACGAAAAAAGATTGCTGCCCCATGCGAAACCCTTAGTTGATGTAGCAGTACTTCTTTTAAGTAGCAAGCTATATGATTATCGATGCAGCAAGACTCTTTTGTAAAGGTAGGCTATAAGATAATTGGTGTAGCAGTACTTCATTTTTGCACCAGGCTATAAGATAGTCGATGAATGTGCTAAAGTAATAATTCTTATAAAAAAAATTCTTAATGTTTATATTAAAAAGTTACCTATTAGAGCTAGTCTACACAGGAAAGCCCAACAAGCGAAAAAATAAAATTATTTTAGACCACTGAACTGTAGCTTTGCCTAATTTTATTTGTAATTATCACTTATGTAAGGATTTCTAAATGTTGCAAATAGAGTTCCTATCCCCATTTTAGCAACAAACAAACTCTTTTTTCATTAAAAATGTTACCCGTCTCTGAGAATAGTCTCAGTTTTAATGTTTCTTAACTTTCAAATAGTTAAAAAGTATAGGATGTCTAATACAGTAAATATTTTAATTTTAACCTAAATGTAAAAATATAAAACAAAGTAATAATTCTAAATATAAATATTACGCAGGTTAAAACTTTCAATAAATAAAATTATAAGAAACAAATAAAAAACAAAATATTAGATTTAAATGAAACTATAATCTATATATATATATATATATATATATATATATATATATATATATATATATATATATATATATATATATATATATATATATATATATATATATATATATATATATATATATATATATATATATATATATATATATATATATATATATATATATATATATATTTTAACAACTCCGGCAAATCCAAAATTTCCAATCCGGCACATCCCTAATAATTTGTTAATAGGAAGGAGGCCGAGGGTCGATATTGTCGAAAATTGCAGACGTAATTTATGGACGTCCTAAACGTTCCAAATTTCCAAAATATGTAAATAACTGCGAAAGTATTTTTCAGCGAAGCTTTTTGTTTGTTTCCAATTTAATTAAAAATATGGCCCACGCGAGCAGTGACGACGAAGGTCCGACTCCTTCAAAAATTCCAAAGGTTCTTAAGCAAAATGATTCAGGAAAACGACTTATTGTTGTTTTAGAAAACGCCTCATTAGAAACAGTAAAGGTAATATTCTGTAAAGTTTCTCTTTTTTCAGAGTTTTTAATTTGGTTCAAACAATTTACAGCAATTGATTTGGTTCACAGCAATTGATTTGATTCACAGCAATTGATTCCTTTTGAGTCATATAAAGTTTGTACTGAAAATAATTACATATTAAAAATAATACTTTATGTTTGCTAAAATTAAAAAACATTTTTAAAATGAGCCAAACAGTAAAAAAACATTTAATTTAGAAAATTGAATATTTTTTTACTTCTATATTAGAAGTAAAACTTTATAAAATGTTTCTAAACTTGATATAACTTTATAAGTCATTAGTAATAATTAATACAGTTAGAATCTAATTATATTAATTAATACTAATGATTATTAGGTTTATTAAGTTTAAAAAAGAAAACACGAAAATGAAGTTTTTATGTTCTGCTGTCTTTAGGTATGTGTGTAAAAAATTTTAAACTGTTTAAACATTACATTATTATTTATCATTAAAAAGTGCAAAAATTAGGTCAATGGCATTTTAGTGATAATAGTTTCACATTATCATGTGTTCGCATTTAAAAGGGGCATGTGACTAGACTTTTTATTAGATATTTTTATTTGAATAGACATTTTAAATGATAACAAAAAAAAAAAGCATACGATTATATACCTATTTTGTGAGTAAAAGTGGGGTGTTTGCAATACCAATTTTTTACAATGAAATTTGGTAACTATTTAGAAAAAATCAATTAAAGTTGAGAAAATTAGTTCTAAAATAAAACTCAACAGAAGAAAAGTTACTTCAAAGACCACGAGTATTAGTGAATGATAGGTTTAGCGATGACTGTGGTTTATTTGTGTTTTATAGTTTTTGTTACTTTATTCTTTTTTAAATTTGTTAAAGAACTTGACTTGAAAAAAATAGATAGTACTAAGTACACTGTTTTATAGCCCAAGCACTTGCCTCATTACTATTAATAAACCCTAGCCGTAACAAAGGGCTTCAATGTGGCCTTGGCAATGCACACCAAAAGTACAAACAGGGACACCATCCATGCGCATTATGGCACTGTTAGTACTTGAATATTTTTCAGCTGTTGATGGAATCAGCCTCTCTGAGAGCTACCACAGAATTAGGGAAACCTGACTACTAGCTGGCCTAATAATAAAAACAGAGACACAAGCAAAACCCATGCATCGAGTCAAGAAGATCCAGCATTCAACATCCTAAACTGGAAACAATGTATTAAAAATCATCTGTGCCAGCCTAATAGATGAAGAAGAGGTGCAAGGCTGGTCAACAGATAAAATCTGTTTACCCCTTAAGTCTTTGCCTAGGAGGCCTTCTACAAGATAGCAGCCAGATGCATTTAACATCTGCCCAAGATGAGTATTTTTATCGAGACAAGAGCCCCAAGGCAGGGGGTGTTTTATGTCAGAGTTTGTATCCTACAAGGCAGCAGGACATGAAGCAGATTGTACTGGGTTACATGTTACCAGTAGCAGAATAAACCTGACCTGACATTAAAAAATGTTCAAAAAAACATTTGAAAGAACAACCTCTTGCAGTTTTTTATTTGGTTAAAGACTGTTCTTTATCAAAATTCAATTGCTTTTTATTTTGGTTTGTTATGTCGGTTGAAAGTTTCAAATTATTGTTATCAGACAAGATTTACGCTTAGTGCTAATTTTGTTGGCAAAGATTTAGGAGCAAAATCACCATCATGAAAGATTGACGATTAAATAACACTGATATGGTCAAAGATTTGTTTGACTTAAAAGACGAACATATAGCAATTAATGCGATGGTATTAAATTATGCGATGGTACTTATTTATTTTGTGATAAAAGTTCAAATAATTTTTACAATTAAACCTGTACATTGGGAAAAAAACAAACATTTAGTTAAGCCTTTTGTAGTATGCACTGTAAATTTTTTCATTATTGATGTTTATGAACCTTTTGCTGCTACTATTAATGACACAGCTATATTATTTAATGTTTTAAAAACAAAAAGTGATTTATAAGAACTATTACACTCCAATGAATTAGTTTTAGAGGTTTCAAGGATATCATTATGATTATCAAATCATTGATGAATTAAAAGCTACATATAAAGTATTTACCAAGATTACAACTTGTTTTAAAAGTCAGTTTACTAGTTTACAAACTAACCTAAATTTGTTACAAAATGCAGATGGTTGAGGCTTAAAATTGTACATTTAAAAAATCTTTTAAACCTTTAAAAAAAAATAAAGATGAAAAAATAAAGATGAAAATAAAGAAGTTATTATATGAGAAAGCTTTCTCATATAACAACTGTTGTTAAAATAGCTGCTTCTTTGATTAAACTGTTTTTTATTTAAAATATATATCTGATTAAAATATTGCAATTCTAATAAAACGTTTTTGGCATGTGGGTATTTTTCTGCTTCAAAAACATGTGGTTGTTGTACAACATATATATATATATATATATATATATATATATATATATATATATATATATATATATATATATATATATATATATATATATATATATATATTCAAATATTATAGAGTGGAAAGAACTTTGAGTTAATGAATTGCGATGATCATAAAAATATAATAAAAAAGCATGGACGTGACCCTGCAAATTCTCGGCCCGACATCACCCATCAGTGTTTACTAATGCTAATGGATAGTCCTTTAAATCGTGCTGGACTTTTGCAGGTTTATATACATACAGAGAAAAATGTTCTTATAGAAATTAACCCGCAGACAAGAATCCCAAGAACTTTTAATCGATTTTCTGGATTAATGGGTAACTTATTTTTATTAACTATATTATTTTATTAACTAGACAACTAATATTTATATATAAACTATAAAATCAAAATACATAATAAATTAAATAAAAAAATTTTAAATTTTTGTAGTATAAATTTACCTCTTCACTAATATGGAGGAGATTATTCCATTTTTTGATCTTTTTTTTCAATTATTAATCATGCATATGCAATTTATAATCAAGTAAAATTTTAAATGTGATTTAAATTTTATTTTTAGAATTTTTAGAGATCAAATAAAATAAGTGGATTTGTTAAAATAAAAGCTAGAAGCGTATGAGAAAATAATAACATTCTAAGAATGACAAGAAAAATTAACTTAAGAAAATAGGGTAATTGATCAATTAAATGGCCAGATAAAACTTTTTATCATTTAACTCTTTCCAATTGAATTGGAAAATAGGAAAGTATATATTCTCCCTTTTTTTTTTTTTTTTTTTTTCATTTCCATAATTTTATTTTACATGAATGCATTTCCGAGGGTTACTCAAGTTTAAATAGACTTAAGCAACTCTCGGAATTAGGAAAAATGAGGTTGGCAATAAAATGTCAACTTCAATTTGTTAAGAGTTGGCAAAAAACAATTTGACACAAAGGGGTTACCATAAAACATAGAAACTATGTCGACAATTTTTTGCTGACCTCAGATGCTTTTAGGTTGGTATTGATGAATGCCGACTCTATTGCTAAGGGCTGCATAAGTAAATGCTTTTGAAAGTCTCCTATTATTTTCAAATTTTTATTTTCAATAGCAGAAAAAAAAGTTTTATTTTCGGTATTTTACTTGTTGTTTCTATTTTATGAATTTTTAAAGAATTTTAAAGCTTATTATTCGCTTCATATTTTACAACCACAACAAATTGATATAGTTAACTATTAAAACTAATAAAGTTAAACAAGTTATAAAAAATATCCTATTAAGACTATAAAAGTAGCTTTATTAGATATTAGAAAAAGTAGTTTATCAGTTTATTGTGCATCAATAAAATCCTTATACTAATTACTTGAGACTACTTTGAAAAGACATCTCAAAGATAAAAAAAAGTGACAAGTAAAAAATAGGAGTCGGGTCTGTAATGACGGGGCAAGAAATAGTAAATAGTTGATTGGTTCATAAGTTGTGCAAACTTGTTCATCCAATAAGACAGAAGTGGTTGATAAAAGCAGTGGTTAAAATAGGGATGTTTAAAAGTAACAATTTGTTACCTAAATTACCACTATTCAATTTTCTGTTATAACAGAAAATATCACTGTTACCTACTGTCTTTTCTGCCGATAGGCAATAGATGTTTCGAATTAAACATAGACGATAGATGTTTTGACTTAGATATGGACAACAAATGTTCCAATCTCAATTCATATTAAAAACTTCATTTAATCAGATGGAAGATGTCTCTTATTCTTGTGCCAAAAATGGTGCCAAATTTCTTTAGTTTCAAACACTTAATGGATGTCAAACAAAAGAGTCTTTCCGGAATTACTTGAAGAAAATAATATAATTAAATTAAAAAAAAGTTCAGCAACCAGTTTTTTTTTTTGTTTTTTTTATACATATAAAATTGTTTTTTATGATTTTATGAATTTTTACAATCTACAATTTGTTTCAATTGAACTACAATTTGTTTCAATGGTGGAAGAAAAAGCAAATTTTCATAATAAGTTTTCCACCAATTTGTGCTTCATAAAACAAAGCATCACTATATCTTTTTTTTATAAATTGTTATTCACCTCCCCATGGTCCAGAAGATCACTACAGTCATGGAGGCTATGTTATTTTGGTTACAACCTTCACTCAATTCTTAAACTCTGAAACACAAACCTTGATGAACAAGGTTGTTGCACGGATAAACAAATAGACAAAATCTAAAAACAAAATCTGCAACTAAATTGCTATACAATGAAACATAGTTGGCAAAAAGAGCTATGTGATTGGAAATTAATGAGATATTTTTTGTGAAAATTTTAAAATCGTTAACAAGCCTTCCCAGAAAGCTCGTGGTTGCATACCTTGTTTATCCACGTCGAAAAAATTTAAGACAACTTTTTAAGACAACTTGACCATGTTTTTATATAGTATTTTAAGAATTTGCAGCAAAATAAAGCTTTAAGAAACTACAAATAATAAAACAACAATACTTGAAGAAAGGAAACAAATACTATAGGAAATAGAAAATCTATATAAAATAAACTTAAAAAAGTTGAAAATATAATGTTTTCGTGCCAGAAAATACAATGGTTATAGGAAGTCTTAAAAGTTTAACACACTGTGTCTATCTCTGTATTATATAGAATTTTTCTCCCTAATGCATATTCAATCTCATTTACAGTTTGTAAACTTGTTTAAAGTTTGTATTTGATAAAATAGTTGTGCTTAAAAACCAATTGTATTTCATTGTTTTTTTAACCAATTGCATTGTTTTTTTAAGAGTAACTACTGTAATTAAAAATTGATTGAATATTGAGGTATTATGTTTAATTTTTGTTCTAAAGTTGATAAAAAAAGAATATAAAATAATATACTAAATTTAAAACCATTTCATTAAGTAATTAAAATATAATAAAATTTTTTTGAAAAAGCAACTATAGCTATTTAATAGATTGTTTACCCAATGTTAAAAAAGAAAAGTTTCTGATCGTCTATGTTAAAAAATAAGTTTCGAATTGCTTAACCCATGTTAAAAATAAAATGTTTTTGATTAGTGATATCTTTTTGACTTTTTCTTTTAGAAAAATATATTTCACTTTTAATTATCTTTCTTGGTGTAGTTAAGGCACTTTTAAAATAATAGAGCGTCTGTATTTTGTTGACTGCGACATTTTTCCGTTAAATGGTCTGGTCTGTGAATTATGAAAAGACGAAAAAACTTAATATGATGAATTTTGCAATATCATAAAATATAAATGTTTGTGGCGAAAAAATCCAGACCAATGATTCTTTTTTTTTTTTTTTTAATCATCTTAAAATCACAATCGTTCGTCCAAATTTAAATAAGATTTTATATCAACAAGTTTTTTAGGTGAAATAAACATTATAGTTTAACAATATGATCTGTTCTGATCGTTTATTGGCAATTTTTTATAATTATAAGCTCTTTCTTGGTTGGAATTCCAGTATTTTTTGTGAAAATTGATAGAAATATTGTGTTTTGACAACTATATATAGTTTATATACGTCAGAACCGATTAGAACTAGGATCAGTAGTTAATTTCAAAAAAAATTTCAAAAGATTTTAACTAAATTCATATTAATGCCGATGAGCGCAATTGATTATATATAAATTATATATAAATTTAAATAAAATTATAAATACAATTATATATAAAAATAAAATTATATATAAAAAAAGAAAGTTTCTTTAAATATTATAAAAACTTTGAGCAAAAAAATTATAGCATTTAAAGATCTTGATTAGACATGTTGACAAAATGATTAGACATGTTGACAAAATCATGCTAATTCAAAATAAAAGTTTTCGTATGTTTTGTAAATCGCCTTAACTACACTGAGTTGGTTAAATAATAAAAAAAGTTATTTTTTTATAATTTAACTTACTTTTAACAATTTTTTTTAGTTATTTATTTTTAACTTTATACAATTTAATTTTATAAAAATGGATTTTTTTAAACAATTAAATTAATATGCATAAAATTTATTAAATATTTTTTAGCTTTTTTCTTGGATCTAAATTTGTTTTTCGTGAACTTAATCATGACAAACTTAATGCCTTTGATGAAAAAAAAAGTTATATGCAACAGTAAATCAATAAGGAATTAAAATGTGTAGCCAAATCTTCTATAGAAATAGAACTGCAGTTCAATTACAATTTAAATTACCTGTTAACATTCAGTATACGTGGCCTTCTTGTTTTAGATTAAAAAAGATCTTTTTCTTTTAGGAAATTCTTTAAAAGTTATTTTTTTGTTTTGACTCAAAAGTTTTTCTGACCAAGTTATGTTTCTTTTATATAATTTTTTTTTTTGTTCAGTTCAGTTGTTACACAAATTAAGTATACATGCTGCAAATGGTCCTGTTAAATTAATGAAAGTAAGTTGTTATTTTGTTTTTGTTGTTGTTCTATGTTATGTATTACTGCTGATGATAATTCAATAATAATACAAACAGTATTTTATGTACTCTTTTCTCATGAGATTATGCTATAAATGAAAAATTGCTATATATATTTATAAATTAATATAGATTGATAAAATTATTTTGTTTAGTTTTCATAGCTCTTTTTGAAATTTTATTTTATAGGTAATAAAAAATCCAGTAGATGATCATTTTCCTGCTGGTTGCAGAAAAATAGGTTAGTCTTTTTACTTAATAGTTTATTTTTTGCCAAACTACATCATTAACCTAAAGCCTAATTCCTAATAATAAAAATAAAGATTTTAGGAGTCTCTAGCAGCAGAATCTTTTTTTTGGCAATTTAATCATAAATGTAATAAGTACTACTTAATGTACTATATATATATATATATATATATATATATATATATATATATATATATATATATATATATATATATATATATATATATATATATATATATATATATATATATATATATATATAATTTGCCGAACTCAAACACTTTTAGGTCGGCAATGCCGACTTAAAAGTGTTTGAGTTCCGCAAATTATTGCCGACCCATTTTTCCTAATTCCGAAGGTTATATATATATATATATATATATATATATATATATATATATATATATATATATATATATATATATATATATATATATATATATATATATATATATATATATATATATATATATATATATATATAAACCTTGGAATTAGGGTCAGCATTCTGCAATGTTGACCTAAAAGTGTTTGAGTTCGGCAAATTATTGCTGACCTCATTTTTCCTAATTCCGAGGGTTGTATATATATATATATATATATATATATATATATATATATATATATATATATATATATATATATATATATATATATATATATATATGTATGTATATATATATATATATATGTATATATATATATATATATATATATATATATATATATATATGTATATATATATATATATATATGTATATATATATATATATATATATATATATATATATATATATATATATATATATATATATATATATATATATATATATATATATATATACTTAATTTCTCCGCGCAGCGACCTTGCTTGTCAAGGTTCGTGTTTCGGAGTTAAAGAGTTGAGAGAGGGTTGTGCCACGATCTACAACAACAAAAAAAAAAAAAAAAAGAGTAGCCTCCTCGGGCCTTGGGCAGGTGAATAATTATATATATATATATATATATATATATATATATATATATATATATATATATATATATATATATATATATATATATATATATATATATATATATATATATATATAATTTGCCGAACTCAAACACTTTTAGGTCGGCAATGCCGACTTAAAAGTGTTTGAGTTCCGCAAATTATTGCCGACCCATTTTTCCTAATTCCGAAGGTTATATATATATATATATATATATATATATATATATATATATATATATATATATATATATATATATATATATATATATATATATATATAAACCTTGGAATTAGGGTCAGCATTCTGCAATGTTGACCTAAAAGTGTTTGAGTTCGGCAAATTATTGCTGACCTCATTTTTCCTAATTCCGAGGGTTGTATATATATATATATATATATATATATATATATATATATATATATATATATATATATATATATATATATATATATATATATATATATATATATATATATATATATATATATATATATATATATATATATATATAGTATATATATATATATATATATATGTATATATATATATATATATATATATATATATATATATATATATATATATATATATATATATATATGTATATATATATATATATATATGTATATATATATATATATATATATATATGTATATATATATATATATATATATATATATATATATATATATATATATATATATATATATATATATATACTTAATTTCTCCGCGCAGCGACCTTGCTTGTCAAGGTTCGTGTTTCGGAGTTAAAGAGTTGAGAGAGGGTTGTGCCACGATCTACAACAACAAAAAAAAAAAAAAAAAGAGTAGCCTCCTCGGGCCTTGGGCAGGTGAATAATTATATATATATATATATATATATATATATATATATATATAAATTATATATATATATATATATATATATATAAATCAAAAGAGCAAAGTAAAACTTTGCTCTTTTGATTTATTGTTATCAATATGGTAAATTTCATCATTTGAATCACAACTGTTGAATGAAATATTCTGAATAAAGTCTTTATTAATTGCATTTAAAACACTTTGCAAAAACAATTTCTTATCTCTGCGAGCAGCCATCTTTAAGTTAAAACTTATAATTAATTGCTTGTTTTTGCCAATGGAACCTTATAACACAAACATTTTCTATTATTGACTTTATAATACTAATAGACTGTTATTATACACAAAATTCTTGTTACAAATTTTTATTTTAAATATGCCAGATAAGAAAGTTCTTTCAGTGCAAAAATCATTATCAAAAAAGTAAATATTTTCTCACAATTAAATAGAAAATTACATATTTGATGAAAGCAGAGTTAAGTGATGTTTCAGAAAGAAAATATAGTTTATCTGATGTTTTTGATGAAAAAAAATTCAGAACCAGAGTTGTTAGAATTAGGTTTAGAAAAAGAAATGTCTGCATTGGTCGATGCTCTAAGTTCTAGTGATAGTTCCTTAGAGAATGAACTAAAGATGCCACTAATATTCGGCAACACTTAATTATATTGAGGGATCCGACCTGCTTCGTTGTAGTGCAACTTAACTACTCTGTGGGCATTTATTAATAGGTTGTGTAATAGCATGCATTATTTATCGACTGATAAACCAAATATTTTAACTACAGTTATGTATTAAAGTTTCATACTCTTCAAACCATTCAGAAAAGTTCAAAAATAATCAACTCAAGTATATTTTGCACTTCTGAGGTAATTTCAGGAAATGCTATAGATTGAATTAGCATAAAAAACTCTAAACTTAATAAAAATGTTATTTTCATGACAACCTGAACTTAAAGCATGGTTTAACTTTAATGGGAAAGACGATTAAACGATTGCTTTTTTTATTAAGTTGCTGAATATTTGTGACATTACAAGTCTGAACCTCCAATTAACGCAGTTTAACCTTGAGCATTTACCGATGTTTCTGGGAACAACCAGAATATAGTCAAAAATGATTCTTTATTTGTTTGAACTTTATTTTACAGATAAAATATGTGATTTTATTATAAATGAGACCAATTGATTTGTTTCCCAACATTACCTTTGTTGTTATCTTATAGCAAGTTTAAGTTGGTTGATAAATTTATCTATTTTGCTGATTCTACTACATTACCAAATGAACATCATTTTCTATCCAAAATAAGCAGAGTATGGATATCTGACTAATAAATACCAAGAAGTGTTTACATATATATCTATTGATGAGTCACTTTTGTTGTAAAAAAGTTGACTATTTTAGTCGACCTACAGTGTGTTTGCAGCAAAAGTACCAGAAATTAAAAACATTTTCATTGCGTGAGCCAGATTCAGGATGTGGATGGAAGTCAATTTAAAATACAGTATCTGAGCTAACTAATAATCTAGGTTTAGATTATCGCTATTTTGCAACAAAAGTTGTAATGTTTCTTATGGATAGCTTACTTGACCAGGATTACAAACTTTACATTGGCAATATTGACAACTGGTGCTCTTCTTATGAGCTTTTATCAGTTTTATTGCTAAGATCTACAGATACTATAGGAACAATTCGCAAAGACCTTATTGGTTTACCTATTTCTATCAAAACAAAGTTGTAAAAAATGAATGAATAGTTAATATGAAAAAAAAACGAGTTTGATAATATTACATTGAAAAGATGAAAAAGATGTATATACCATGTTAACTTCCATTATTGATTTGACTAGAAATGCTTTGAGAGCTGGAAAAGAAAATCATGTTCCTTTAGTTATTGATGATTACAATCAAAATATGAGGCATTGATAAAAGTGACCAAATGATAACATTGTATGAAGTTAAAAGAGAAAAAGTAAAGAAGTGGTAAAAAAAGGTATTACCCATTTGATTAATCAAGTAGCCTTCAATGCTAAAATAATTGTAAAAAAATGGGTAGTATATAACACATTTAAACTTTGCAATACTGTTAATCACATCAATGATTCAACAATATGGTCAACAGCAAAAAAAAAAATCTCACTCTAGATTTGTGTCAAACAACCCTTACGATTAATTGACCAACATTTTCCTTCATATGTGCCAGCATCTGAAAAAAAGACAAATGCTCAGAGAAGGTGTGTGGTATGTTGCATATAATTCAAAAAGATTCAAGATATAAATCTGTAGAACATGATGTAGGACTTTATGCAGCTCCATGCTTTGCCAATTGTCATACAAAAAGTGAATCTAACTCGGTGTTGTTAAGGCGATTTTAAAGTATTATAGTGTCTTTATAAAATTTTGCTGACTATGACATATTTCCATTAAATAATCAGGTCTGTGAATTACAAAAAAGCAAAAAAAAAAATTAAAATGATAAATTTTGCCATAACATAAAATAAAAATGTTGAGCAAAAAAACCCAAAATTTTTTTTTTTTAAATAAATCTTAAAATCACAATTGTTTGTCCAAATTTAATTGATATTTTAAATAAATACGTTTTTTTAGGTAAAACGAACACCATAGTTTAATAGTATGATCTGTTCTGATTGTTTATTGGGAATTTGTCTTAATTATAAGCACTTTCTTGGTCAGAATTCTAATATTTTTTGTGAAAAATTGAGAGTAATGTTGTATTTTGATTATATAAGTAAAAGGATCAGACCCATGAATAAGAAATTAAATGTTAGACTTAATTTAGTTAATGATATTGTCGAAGACTAACCAAAAGTCTCTAGAACCTAACATCTGAGATAAGATGCAAGGTTTAGTAAAATGAGAATATCAGAGCTTAACATCAGACAGGACTTTTTTACATTGGCTTCTTGCAATAATAAAAGGACATTAGTTCTTAAAAGAGATGTTCTTGTAAAAATGATGAAAAAAATGATTGTTTAATAAAGCAACTGCTCAAGATGGTGAAAAATGTGGATTAAAATGAGGCTTGACTTAAAATTGAAGAGAAGTCATAAAAGCTTCTAAATTTTTTTTCCAGAAGGAATAAAAGCTTCCATGATGCACTTTATGCATATATATTA